CAGGCTGCAGTGGGGTGATCTCCCTCTCCCTTCCCCATCGGTTGCGGTGGTGTGGGATCCACCCCCTTCCATCCCACTGGCCGTTACTGGGGTGGGCAGCTCCGGGTTCCTCCCTCCTCCCCACACTGTGTCCCCCCAAAACCCCGACTCCAGGCCTCATGCACCCCCAGCCCCACAGCTCAGCACCCTGGGGCTCACCCTGTGCTGCTGCGGGGGTGTTCTCCTCCCGGGGAGCATCCTCAGCCTTCCTCCCCTGCCCCCGGGGAGCCCTTGGGGAAGGGGGTCCTCAGCCCTCCTCCCCTTCCCCCTTGGGGAGGAGGGGATCCTCATGCATCCCCCCACCTGGGGCTCTGTTTTGCCTTCAGAGAAGCCCTAAATGCTGCTGGTTTTATCTCCTGCATCCCCATCCTGTGCAAGCACCGCTTCTTCTCGCTCTCCATTGGAGTGTGGAGGGCTGGTCTTGCTGCTGTCTGCACCCTGGGGGTCCCACAGGGTGGGCTGTAACCCGTGTGGCAGTTGGGGTGACAGTAGCAGGTATTTCCCTGCCTCATGGGGTATGTCAGTTGGTGTTTGTACGAGTACAAACAGCGTCACACAAGTGCCAAGGCAGCAAGCTGGGTGACAAGGGTTTGTGCCAGAGGTGGGCTGTGTTCAGGGTGGGGGAGAGGGTTTTTTGGGGCCAGGGAGGATGTGGGGAGTGATGGGTGAGGAGGGGAAGGGTCTTTGGGGAGTGTGGTATTTGGGTGGTGGGGTGCCGGGTGTGATTGTCACCTGAACTTTTGGCTGCTGGACTGGCTCTGCCAGGTGTGGGTAGGGGTGAGCGCTGGCACTTGTGTAGCTGTTGTGACAGCCCAGGAAAGTGTGTCAGGGCTAAACCACAGCCTGTGATGCCTGTTCCCGTTGATGGCAGGTTCTTTTCAGCACCATTGTTGACATAGGAAAGGAGCAACTTTGCAGAATTTGTTTCCCAGCTTCGTTGAGAAAGAGGCAGCTTCTTAACTGAGCGGTATGAAATCTTTCCTCTTGGTTGGCATTTTGTGTGGTACTGAACCGTGGTGTGTTTCTTGTATATTAGCTAATTTGTGACCTCTTCCTGCAGGATGGTTGCCTGGAGTACCTGTTTGTTGCTCTAGATTTTTTGGCAGATCCCCCTTTTCTGCCATTGTGCCCAGTGTCTCCATGTCTGATAATGGAGATGGGAATCACATGGTCGTTTTGTATCTTAAGGGCTGGATTTAACGGAGTCCCTTTGGCTGTTGGAGGAGCAGAAAGGTGTGAAACTGCCTGAGTGGGAAGTCGCTCGTTCTGGGTATGGTAATGCTTGGTTTATACTGGTGTGAGTTGCCTGTGTGTGCACTGAAAGCTTTGATTTGGCTTTGATTTGGCTTTCTCAGCATCTGGTCTGTAGGGCAGCAGCTGGGTTGTGTCCTGTGATGACTCGGAAATGGGAGGACGGGGTCTGTCGGTGCAGGCTGCTTTGCTGCTCCACAATCTGTGGGTTCTTGTGCTGCAAATGGCTTGGAGTGGTTGGTGTTTTAAATGAGCTGTTAAATGTGAACACTGGAAGGCCTTGTTTGATAGAAGGGGGATGGGAGGAAAGAGCCAGCTGAATGGAGACAGACGTACTCCAGGCTGTGATCCACTGAGCACTGCTGGGGGGACACTAGTGCTTCTGTCTTGTTGTTTCTTTGAGTGACTACCAATTCTAGGTATTACAGAGTGCCTACTCAGATTTTTTTTTTTCTGGTTCTGGGTTGAAGAGCTGATGCAAAGAAACTCCACATAATGCATTTCGGGTGAACAGCTCTTCAGTGTCACTGCTTGATGGCTTTGCTCCTGGTCTCAGCTCTTGTCCTGAGCAGAGTTGGGTATTCATGTGGAAGCTGGAAACACCTACAGTAAGTTTCAGGCTGTAGAAAGAGGATACTTTTAGCTTTGGCTCTGGACAGTGATTTTGAGCTTTAGGTGGGTGCCTGAAGTTCTTGCAACTATGTTAAATCTATTCTTGTGAGCTGATATAATTAATCAGAGTCCCCTAAAACAATGAGTTTAATAGTAGGATTACTCCCCAAGTGTGTGCTGGGGGGACAGTTGTGATTCAGAGTGTTTTTTTTCAGGTGTTAAAAATGTTAAGCTTCCCAGGTAAGGATAATAAGCTAATGCTGCAGTTGTGCCATACACCAGCAAAGATCTGTGGTGCTCCAGTGCTCTTCTGTTTCACCTATTCCAATAGCTCAGGTGCCTCCAGACCGTGGAGTCTACTCTGTAACAGCAATCCCAGCAGTCATCTTTCTGACACTTTAGGGACACTTTTCCCTTTAAATTCAATTTTCTGAATTTATTCCCAAGCTGTTGCATTTCTTTACTAAAAGCTGAGACATTCATTCTGTTCATTTTTTTTCCTATCCAGGACGGTGCAATGGATTTACTGAAAGAACTGAAAAGTATGCCCATGACTTTGGACTTGCTGCAGGTGAGTTGCACGCTGAGGATGAAAAGCTGAAGTCTGCATCTGGATGAGTTCAAAATGTTGTTTAAATAAACTTCATAGTTTTCCTCTTGCTTCTTGCCTCACTCAAAGCATCAGAATAAACTTTAAATCCAGAAAATAGTGCTGAACATGGGTTTTGGCTGGGCCATTAAATAGCTCTGGGCCACCATGGGTTGCCTGAAATTTGTGCACAGCTGATGAGGTGAATGTTGAGTCACTGCTCAAATCCTTTCTTAGGCTTCAAAAAGAGGAGAGTCCAGATTAATGTAGCAAAGACAAAGGGCAGTCATGGGAGAAGTTCTTTAAGTCTTTGTCATGATGATATTCAGGAGGACAGGGAAGTGTGAACAGAATTACAACTGGGAGATAAGCATCTTGGATTTTTTCGCTCCAAGCTTCAATGTCAGTTATAGGTGTGTAGAGAAGGCATTTCTGGGTGATGGGATGTTGAGCTTCTGATCACTCTGAGAAAGCTGGAGTGTCACCTCGCTTTTCCAGAGTTATAAGGAGATAATCATTCTGGAAGTCCTTGAATACTTCATATTTTGATCATTTCTTTGACTTCATCGTGCTTATTTCTGATTTGCATTTAGTAACAACTAACAATTCTGTTCTGGAATGATTCATGTGGATGTTCACTTGCAGTCCACCCGCATCGGGATGTCAGTAAACGCACTGAGAAAGCAGAGCACAGATGAAGAAGTGATAGCGCTTGCCAAATCCCTCATCAAATCTTGGAAAAAACTTCTAGGTAAGAAAAATCAGCATGTTCCTGTCAAATTCAGCTTGTGAAGGAGCTGGTTCCAGCGGGAGGCTGGGTTTCTCAGTAGAGCTTATTTCTTGATCTGAATAGAACATTCTAGCAAATCAGCCTTTACAATTGCACCCTCTATCCTTCAAGTTTTGTCTCCTGCCATGCGTTCTGCTAGATTTAGCTCCTGTTTATCGAGCTCATCCTCGAAAAAGCAGGAAAGCTTCAAGGACTATAAGAAGAAAAAGCTTCAGGACTATTCTGAACGTGTACCCGTCCATATAACAATTAGGGATGTTATTTGCAGAAACAGTATCTGCACCCTGAACCCTCCTCCCTGCCCTGTGCTCTGTGACATTAATAGAGCGTGTGCTGTCAGCCTTGTGCAACGGCTTGGAAAGAGAAATGCTGGAATGTGTTTTGGGTGATGAGCTGGAGAAGGACCTTAGTTTAACACCTTGTAGATGCATTTACATGGAGTGTTTCCTGCTGGGAAGACTTCCATGGTGATGAACGCCGAGAAGCAGAAGCTTGTAATTCTGTCTGAGGAATCTTAATGCTGATATAGCACAAACTAATGTCAAATTGCAGATGGAGGGATGACAAATATGGTCTTAGGGGTTAGCTTTGTGATAAAAGAATGAGGCTTCTGCAGTGCTGAGATCGAAAGGGCAGCTCTGCCTGTGTCCCTCGAGCAAGACTGTGTGTTTCCCAGTGGCAAAGTACCCCAATGTGGAATTCAAACACTCTTTATTGTTTTTAAACAGACCTTTTGGGCAGCTGTGTGTAAAAAGAACAAAATCAAGGTTGTGTTTGAGGCAAAGTGAAATGTGTGGCTGGCTCTAGTCTGCACCCCAGGGCTTGGTGTTTATTGATGGGCTAAATGGGTGTTAGAAGAGTGTTTTCCTGTCCTGGCTGAGACTGTCACTTCCACCTTAGGGGGAATGTGTATTGGCTGAGACAGTTTATCTCTGGGTCAGACTTGTTTTACAGAGTGATGAAAGTCCTCTCCAGGGCTGTGCTGTTGGCTTCCAACAGCACTTGGGAAACACTAGAAGTTGTGTTCCCAGAAGGACTAGCCCGTACTGGCCCTTGCGGTGCTGTTGGCTGCAAATGCTGCTTTTAGTGGTGCTTTAGAGAACTTGATCCAACCTGCACTATGAAAGAAGCTTTTGTGATGAGACAAGTTTTGTGAGGAAGTTTATCTCCCAGGCAGGGAAGGTGATTTCTCTTTAGTTTGGTGAGGAAAGCTTTTGTTTGAATTACTTCCTACTTAGAGGCCAGCAAAAGGTCTGTTGGAAAACATGGGAGG